GAGAAGACGACATGCGCGTGCCATACCACTGAGGCACTGGCAAAAATGTTGACTATTCGTTAAACAGGACAAACCTGCATTGCGGCCTTCCATGGGTCCACTCCATCGATTTCCGGCTCCTGCTCCGAATCCAAGATTTTATCCTCCGAAGCCGAATAAGCCACAGCCTGCACCATGGCGGCGGCGCTTCACAAGCAGGACTTTCCTAGCACCAGCGTGTCCGCACGATCCACCTGGTCGTACCAGCAGATTGGGAAACAAAAAACACAGTCGGTGGAAGCCAGCCGTCTTATCCGCACCATGAAACGTGGCACGACAGCTATGCTAGCTGCTGTATTGCGGGGGAACGAGTTTGAGCTGTTATATTTATATCCAACCCCAAGACACTGTCCAAGAATGCCCTGACAAGTGCCGGTTCGACTTGTACCATCCTGCACGCCAACGGCAGTACGGCGTGGCAACCATAAGCGCGGACAGAAAGTATGCGCCTCCTGTAACGGGCGACAGCATTGGAACTCTGACTCTTCCCGCTGACTGCTGCGTCCAGGCCTCTCTCCACCGTATGTACGCAGGCTTTTTAGGCTTTCCTTTGTTTCTCGCAGGAAACTCATGTTTGCGAGCATACATACTTCAATTTGAATACGCACACTACTCCAGCAGTGGCGGCTACGGTTTAAGAGAGTATATTACGGAAAGTACCGTTTTTAGAGTGTCAAAACTGGCTTGTCACGACCATGAGAAAAACATATATTTCATAGTACGGTTGAAGAGAAAACCGGATACAAGAGAGAAATAGTAGCTTGTCACGACCCTCTCGTAAACCGTAGCCACCACTATACCACAAGCATGATGTCAAGAATGTAGGTATATTATAGCAGTATGCATACATGCCTGCATCCCACACCAAGAACGGTTCAGAGGATAGGGAGCTATAGGTCCAGGAAACACAACACACAATTTCTTTTCCGATGCCCGCATGCTATCACCAGCTCTCGCGCATGCATATTCCGGCGCACGTGTCGTTTGGAGCGACAAGAAGAGCTCTGCACAATTGAAGGGTCCAGGTTTGCCATGCACGCCGTTCCCAACCACTAGAAAGTGCCACCGGACGCGCGTCTGTTCGTGTCTTGTGCGCTCCACACACAAGAAACCGAAAATAGGGAATTTCGTCGATGTCGTTGAGCAAAAAAAAAAAATCACACCAAACGCTCCTCGACGGAAAGGAGCAGAAAAAACATAGGGACCAGTGCGCTCACCCAATGGACACACACACGAACACCTACACTTCTTGGAGGAAACTCTGTGGACCCCGCTGTCGGGGCCAAGACAAACGACCACTCAAATGGAGCCTCAAAATCCTACCGCGGTCCACGAATCATGCCCACCACCGCATGGAACATAATGGGGAACAGAGACACCCCCGTGCAGCGCAGTTTACCAGCGGCAGCGCAGGGGGCTTTGTGAACGGACAGCGGGTGACCCATGCCGCCCACCTCGGGTCTAAGCTGGGCGTCTCTGGGCAGGCGTCTGACAGCATGGAGAGCACAGCGGTATATCCCAATTGCAGGCACACACACCTATCTCCTCTGCTCGCCGTGCTGCTCCAAATCCTGCTCCCTTCTTGGTTCACCCCCCACCCCCTCGCTTCGCCTGCTCCTCGTTGACGGCACACTATCTCCCAGATGCAACCCCGCCGCACTTCTTTCGCCACAGGATGGCACTGCTGATCAGCCAGGCGGCGGTCGAAGGGAAAGAGAAAGGGTAAACGGGACGAAGATAGATAGAGAAATTTAGCAAGCAGCGAAAGAGTGTCTCACGGCGGACACCCAGCACCACGCGGCCGGCCAGCTTGTGGGACACCGCAAACGGCCAAAAAGTCCGAATATGTACCTACTCGGGCAGGCTTCATTCATTCAACACGGAGCACCTTTTTTTTTTTTCTTAATATGACACAACGAGTCCATCTCTATTATAGGAAAGAGTCAGAGATTTTTCTTTTTCTTGTTGCATCTCACACAACAACCGCCGCTTATTTTTTTTGTTTGCTTAATACTTGTTGTTGTTGTTGTTGTTGTTTCTCACATTAGCTCTATAGTCCACAAAAAATGGGGAGCCCGTGGTCTCAAAACCCGGCACATACGACGCCGCGAGAAAACAAAAAACAAAAATAGGATACAATCACACAACGAATCCATCTCCATAAAAAAGGAGGTCAAGCCATCATTCCTGCCTTTTCTGTGCTGCCGGTGGACCGTCCTGTCAGAGTCTCACAGGCATATGTGCAAGATCGACTTCGAGTGCATCCGGTCGTGGCGCATGTGGCAGGTGCCCTAGACTATAGACTGCTTCTCTACATTTGTTGTCCGGCGGTGTGTCGTGATGCTCCGTCTCTCAGGGGCGTCGAGACTGCGACACATCATCTTGCGGTGGACGCTGCTTGCGTCTGCTGCCCTTCTTCTGAGACCGACCTCCTCGGACCTTCTGAAGAACAAACATGAGGCGGTCGACCGTCAACCCCAGCAGCGATTACGAGGCACGCCGGCGAATGTTGGTGACGACCCAGGACAGCCCGAGCAAATCCATCTTGCACTAGCTGGCGGCGGCAGGTGAGGAGTGCCTCTTTGTCATCCTCTGCCCCAAATCGGGTATATTTAGTGGCTTACGCCGAAAGGATTGTTCGTACACCGCCGCCACAGACGAGAGGGGACGAAAACACACACCATGAAGCAAGAGGGGTGGCTGCCTCTGTTTCAGTTAGCCCTCGCCAGAAGCAGTGTGATATTCTCGTAACGTTTGGCCAGGATACACACGAAACTGCTGTTGTGAGTGTGTGTTGTCAATGCTGGGAGCAGTGTATGTACAACCAGCCGGTTGTTCGGCACTTAAGCGCTGACTCTATGCAACGAATCTACCAAGGAATCTAAATCTACTGCTGTTGTACGATCTCATACACGGCTCGATGAACTGCTGCAACTAACTGTACACCGGCAGAAACGTTCATATACTTCGTGCTGCTGTTGTCTTTCTGTCGACAGACTGCTGATGGACAATCCAAGCGAAACATCTCTGTATCCACTCACTCCCTCTTGGATATGTATAGACTACCCCACAACCCGCCCTTCCGCCCGCCCCGCCCGTACGCACTCAAGGGAGATAGATGTACGCCATGTCTGTTTCCTGGTTGACATGGGGGGAAGCCAAGTCGCAAGTTTTCTGGTCCCGAGACATGGACATGGACGTTCACTCTGTCGGGGAGGTCGTCTTTGGCAACGCTACGAGTGAGCCAACGGAGCTGAATAAAGTAGAGGTCGTGCAAGAGATGGTACACCTAACACACTTGCAGTTTCGGTTGTCCACACAGCAGTAGAGGGTGTCGCCAAGGTACCTGGGGCATGGAGCAATATCTTATTGTTGGAAGGATGTGGCGTGGCGGGATGACGGCCCAAAAATCTTGAAAAGTAGAGCTACATTCTCGTTGTTCACGTACAGGTTGTGCACATTCTACGTTGTTAGTGCTCGCTTCCGTCGTGAGCGAGTACACACTGGAACATTGGTCAGCCTGCCTGCTTGAATGGTACGTGAAGTTGTCCACCCTTGATGTTAACCTTTGACGAACTCACACCATGCTCCCTATTGCACACACCATGCTCATCATTACACACTCATCTCCTGTGGTCAAATGCTTTCTTGTGGCTGAACTAGAGGCGTTTGCTGCAGTGCTGATGTTGAACTTCCGGATTCTGCCCGTCAGGATATACGACTCACCACACCAACCTAGACCTGGAGGAATACACGAGCGGGTTGCTGCATTCGGCGGTAATCCAGGGTCTGGAGCCATCGACGACAATTTTCTACTGTGTCGGAGACGAAGACCTTGCGCTGAGCACCGTCCGAAACTTCACGACCCCCGGCGTCTTCGCTCCCGAGCAACCGCTTGTTCTCGGCATTCTCGGTGATTTGGGGCAGACCAACGATTCGAGGTGATGGATGGTTTTCCGGCATTGTTTCGACAAAAATTGTGCATTGCTCACACGCCGAGTGCGGCATCGACTTCTGTGTGCTGGCTTGCGTACGGTTGCGTACACCAAAGTCGATGTGTCTCGGTCCAACCTTGCTTGGGGGCTACCACGGACTGGGAACAAACGGCATCAGCAGCAACAATACTGGTTGCGCCCCATGTGTTGTCTCATGGTCCCACGAAAACTTTGTCGGAAGAGAAAGACGCCCACAGCTTTTTGAGTAGCATGGCCACAGCAGGTTTTCCCGGCGGGCGGTGTTGGCGTCGCTAGAGCGATGTGCGCTGTCCGTACATCAAACGACGTAACGAGGCTACTCGTGTGCAACCCACGGCCACCGGCGAGACCCAAGTTTGTCGAGTTTGGCGGTGTCCTATCATCATATCTATCCACACCCAAGATGTTGCGTGTGATGCATGGTGATGAAGCCGGGCTCGTTCTGACACCCCGCGCTTCGGTGCTGCTGTGCTTGGGGCGCTGCTGCACCCTTCCTTCGTACGGTATGTGTCGTGTTTACTGCCGTGGTTTAGGAACACCTTGGACGCCCTGGGCAGACACCAACCTGCCATCGACGTCGTCCTTCACGCCGGAGACCTGGCATACGCGGAGTGCATACAGGTGCCGAAGTTGCTCTTCAACGCTGCTCTGTAGATCGAACGCACTACGGTATTGACCGCCAACAAGTCGTGCCTTCGTGCGCAGAGAGAGAGAGCCACACACACAGTTGCCCGCATACAATTTGGGTTGGGCTATGTACAGCCTGGCTTCATTCAAGTGCGACCGTCTCATGGGTACAAACCAACGTATCGTGCGGTGCCCAGAGTAGGGGGTTTTGACCGTCCAATACAAGCGGGGGTCCATGGCAGCGTTTCTCTTTGCTAGCGACATGCATACCCCCCCATCCACCACCCCCCGGTTCTTCCGACACTCTGTAAAAGCGTGAACACCGCCTGCTTGGATACCCAGGAGAGGTGGGACTCTTTCATGCGGATGCTAGACCCGGTCGCCTCTCACGTCCCATGGATGGTGGCCGCGGGAAACCACGAGATATAGGCGGGAAGCACCACGAGCGGGCCGTTCGCTGCCTTCCAGCACCGCTTCCGCATGCCCTCCGAGGCGCCCGCCGTGCGGGGTTTCGAGTGCGGCGTGGCGGGAGGCCTCGACGGCAACCGGACCGCTTGCGGGCCGGGCCTTAACGACCTCTCGACCAAGGGCACTTCTGTCAAGGAGAGTGAAGCGGCGGATTTCGGCGGTGAATGGATGACACAGGCAGTCTTGGGTGCAAGGGAGGCTGTTGATCCCTTCGAAAGGCCCGTGTCGTCGACAGGCTGGCCGGAGAGTGAAGGCGAGGGGGGAGAGGAAGACGAGGGGGAGGTCGACGGGCTAGTGCCGAAATGCAGCCCGTCAGAGTGGTCCGGCACCTACGATTTCGGGAACAGGTGGGTCAAGGAAAGCTGCGTGTGCTTTCCTGCCCTAGGGTCAGTGACAAGGGATTTTCTTTCTTGTTTCATGAGACCTCGTTTCCCTCTTCTCTTTAAAATCCCCATGAGGAAGGACAAACCACAAAGCGTCGTAACTGCTGTGCTTAACTGCGCTTCACTGTGCTCGCTCCCTCCCGCAGCTTTTACAGTTTCGATGTGGCGAGCGTGCACGTCGTCGTGCTGAACCCCTACACGGCAACAGGGGAAGGTTCTGTGCAGCACTCTTGGCTAGTCGAGGTGAGGGTACCGAGCTTCGCCATCGACAAGCAGCAATGAAGCATACACTCCCAAATGACGGTGTGCCGGGTTTGTTGTGGGACAAAGGCTTCCCGTGGAATCCTTATCTCACTTTCCGAGGTGAACGACGTGGGGGCTAAATTCTGGTCTCAAAAAGAAAAATACGAATCTCTTCGGGTTTTCTCCTTGCCGGTTGTACTGCCATCTTGTGGATGCTTCCCTTTCTCTTCTCCCCGCGTGCCGTTAACGGCGGCCTCTCCTGGTGCCTTGGCTGCCGCACCACTCAAGCAGGACCTCGATGGGTGCGATCGCTCTCGGACTCCGTGGCTCGTGGCAATGTTCCACTGCCCGTGGCACAACTCTAACCTCGCACACCCGGGCGAGAGGATGGCGGCAACGGCGATGCGCGCCATGGAGCCGGTTCTGTTCCAGAACAAGGCCTCCCTAGTCGTTGCTGGCCACGTGCACGGTAAGACAAGCAAAAGGAGATCATATTTATGAAAACACGAACCAGGATTATTGGCTCTGAAACTTGCCACGAGCGTGCAGCATGTGTTGTATAACACCAAGAGTCCACCGCCTACCGTGAGCCCTGAGAACTTGGTTGGTCGCTTGCACCGTGTTTGTGGTATTCGTTCTATCCAAATATGGTGTCCATTGTTGCAAAGTGTTTTACCAAGTACTTGCTGCTGGTGCTCGTGCTGCGGCTACGACTGGACAAGAAGGTCCCCTGTTGGTCTCGACCTCTGTTCGACTGAAGGCGCATTGCGAAGACTAACGCTCTCGCCTTCCTTAGATGTTTTACGACCTGGCTCTCTCTCAACTAAAAGCCAATTCACCGATTCAATTCATTTCGGTTCGACTCTTCACCTGTCTCACGATCTTCCTGTGCGTCGGCTTTGCTTAACTTGTGTATGTTTTTCTCTTGCCTGTGCGCGCAATTTTGTTTCCGGTCCTCAAAGCGTACGAGCGATCTGTCCCTGTCCTGAGTGGACAGCTCAACGATGACGGCCTCGTCAATCTGGTGGTTGGTGGATCTGGAAACAACGAAGGGAGAGATCGTGAGTGGAATGCAATGACGTGGTAGAGTCAGCCGTGTGAACGACCGCGCACAAGATAGTGGAGCTCCAGAGTCGGACGGATCGAATTTCCGAAAAAAACTCTTGGCGGGGTGGTCACATTCGTTGTTCATCCATATCCTCGGGGTCCCTGTCTTGTGGGTGTGCGGGGTGTCCCATTGTTCATCCATATCCTCGGGGTCCCTGTCTTGTGGGTGTGCGGGGCGTCCCGCCCAAAACGGTCTTGAGAAATGTCTCTCCTGGGGGTGTTTGGCAGGACAGGGCACCAGCGCGGGGGCTATCAGGGCTGGGGCACACGCTGCTGGTGAAGAGAACTGGTACAGCAGTATGCGTAATAGCTGAGGTATTAGAGGTACGATAGGTGATCGACCGATGAGTTACTCGCACTCTTGCCCCCCTCTCTCCGGACTTGCTCAGCCACGCGGTGGGCCTAAGGGATTATCTCGAGGCGTTACCCGGGTTCGCAAGACTAAGACTTTCGGTATTGTACAACCCGATATTCCTAACCCTCATACCGCCCTCCACACCCTCCTTGTCGTGCCCATCAGCCGACTACTACCGACTCCCCGACTGGAGTGCTTTCCGGAACGGGAGCGCTTTCGGGTTCGGAACGCTTTCGGTCATGAATTCAACGATGGCCTTGTGGGAATGGAAGGCGAGCGTGGGCGAGTAGAGTGTTGTAACGAATACTACACACTACCCGTACGTTGGTTGGTAGACGAAATGGTGCTTTGGTTACTGCGCTTTACTTGCCCGCCATTGGGTATGTATGTCGCAAGGTTTTCGTTGTGGGAGACAAAAAAAAAAAAACTTCTCCCTTCGGCGTTCTGCCCTGCACGTACCTTGGGTCTTGAGTCCAGTCCAACCGAAAGCGGACGATTGGACTGGACTTGCGACTCCCTATCGCGCTTCCCAAAGTCGTCGCACAAAATCCGGTTCAGCAGCTACATGTATGCAGGTCCAACCCCCCCCTCCTGTGTGACCCCGGTTGGGTCGTCTAGCTAGTAGAAGTGGAGGATAGGGACCAGAGGGGCAGACGGCAGAGTCCAATGATGAGAAAAAAAAAAAAATGTGGATGCTCTTGCTCATCCTCGAAAGTGATTGCTCGGAACACTGCTGTTCTGCTGATGAGTTTTCGCTGTTCTGCTGTCGGCGAGCCCCAACTGCTGTTCTGACTGCAATCAGCCCTCTCGTCTTTTGCCCTTCTCCACGCTTTCGTTGTTGCTGCTGCTGTTCGAGACAGTCTAACGAGGAGGACACTGTGGTGCACGATGCTGCATGGATCTCCAACAAATACACCAATCCTTGAAGAGTGATGCCGAGAGCTGACGGCGAAGTCGTGCCGTGTCTTGCACCCAGTAGGGCCGAGTGCAATGTTTTTTCTTGTTGTAGCTATGGTGGGGAAAGCTTGACCCGAAGGAAAGGGTGCCAGTTTTCCCAGGTGTTGAGAGCTATGGCCGTAGCGGTGGTATTTCTGCGGTAGGCAGGCGCGCGTGTGGTCTTGGGGGCACTCATGCATGCGTTTTCTGGAGTGGAAGAATAAGGATGGGCGATTACGATTATTGACTCTGTAGGCTTTTTAGCGTGAACGTCGTCGGCACCTGCCTGCAAGAGTATCCTCGTCCAACGGTGTGTTTTTGTAGGTAGATATGTATGGCAAATCCTGTGCGTATTGTAGGGTAGGTCATGTGTCCTGCACGAGGGATTATATATATTCTCTCGAGAGGTGAACACCCTCGTAGTTCGTCTCGTCGCGGCTTTTATTACCTCTGTGTGCGTGTACAGTGCACAGCAGTGTACCCAGTGCGTGCTCGTCCCGCTACTATTAGTGGGGAAATCTGTCCATTACATCAATATGGCGATCCGTTTGGATCAGAGTTGGAGGCGGCGTTTGACACGGAATGACGCCTGTTATCGGAGTGTTTTTGTTCAGGAGCTCCTTGGGATGTGAGTCTCACTCTTCGTCGCTATTATTTGCACGTGTAGGTTTTCGTCGAACAAAGTGTTGGCGCACATGATTGTCGAGCAATGCTAAGTAATAAATGCACCAGGCCCTCGGACGGGGCTGCGAAGTTCGTGTTGTAGGTGGCCATTTGCTTTCGCCATAGGTCTTGAATGCAAACTAGAATATGATGTATGATCTATGGTACTACTTCTACTCTGAACCAGGAAGTATGGATTTGCTAGGGTTGCAAGTTGGACGCTGGAGCAACGTACTATGGCGTATACCGTAAGGTTGCGAGTCACCGCACCCCTGTGCGGTCGTTTTGTAGTTGGTTTGAACAGCTGTAGAATCGCCATTTTTTTAATTAACGACGCATGGACACCTCAGTTGTGCCGAAGTTGCAGACTCCACACGCAACGTACACACACACGAGCACACCAGTCAACCACAGCAGCACTGTAGGTGCTAGGTTCTAGATTGGTGCAAAAGTATAGCATTGATGGTGCTGCGTGCTGCGGTTCCATGGTGGTACTCACTGCTGTTGGTTGTTTTGGCTTAGATCTATGCATAGATATGGCTGCTGTTTTTCTTTGTCGTGTTTTGGTTCAAATAGTCTAGACTGTCTTCAAGTTTATCGATCAAATCGATAGCAATGACGTTTTTCATGTCCGTCATCCACGTGCGGTGTGAGACGATCGCCTACCCATCCAACAGAGCTAACGTGCCAGCACTGACATGGTTTGATATGGTCGGAATCTCTTGTGGTACTCAACTACGCTAGGTTGCGAGTCATCGCATCGTGACTGGACCGTGCGGTGACTCGCAACCTTGTGCATGGTATATCTACTGCTGTGTGTGCATGCCGGTATTCTTATGAGTGCATAACGTACGCCACGTAATGGTGCCGACGCACGACCATTTTCTGTACACGACCAAAATGGCACACGGTACTCCTGAAGTGCCCGGATGCCTTTGCACTTCGCATTTTCGCCCACGCGACCAGAACACGGAAGTGATCACAAATGTTCCAGCTCAACACCTCTGATGGAAAGTCGGCCGTTGGAGTTTGCATTCAACAGCTAATGCTTTTGCTAGAATATTCAATGATAGCATACATTTAGATTTACATTCTTCCAGGGGAAAGATGTCTTGCTCACCTGGACATCCACATCGGCGATGAAAAACCGGAATGATTGAGGGGCAGATTTTTTCTTAGCAAGTTGGGTGGTGTTGAGTAAACACCAGGTTGGTTTGTGAGGAGAGCTTCTCGACCAGGGAGGGTGAGAGCGTCAAGCGTGTTGTATTGCTGCTGCAGGATGGTGAGCATTAGCCGCCGAAACCGTAGAGGGTGCGGCCCTGGCGCTTGAGGGCGTACACCACGTCCATGGCCGTCACGGTCTTCCGGCGAGCGTGCTCGGTGTAGGTGACCGAGTCACGGATGACGTTCTCGAGGAACACCTTGAGAACGCCGCGGGTCTCCTCGTAGATGAGTCCCGAGATACGCTTCACACCGCCACGGCGAGCCAAACGGCGGATGGCGGGCTTGGTGATGCCCTGGATGTTATCGCGGAGTACCTTGCGGTGGCGCTTGGCACCGCCCTTGCCCAGACCCTTGCCGCCCTTTCCACGTCCAGACATGATTGCTTGATGAGAAGGCAGAGAGCTTGAATGATGCGTGTGGTAGTGTCGCGAGGGCGGGAGGCAAAGATGGTCCTGCGACGTCCGGGCAATCCTGAGCGCGAGCGGGAATTAAATGCGACACATTGATTGGTCATGTTTTCTTATATGCAAATTTTGAAATTTGTTCGCCACACTCGCACACAGAGCTTCATCAGAGTGGGCCCCATCTCGCTACAAGTGTGTGCCTACGCAAGGGGCACTTCATGTGAAAACCATGGATGACCCCCAGATCACGTGTCAGTTGGCATATGCATATGTGTTTCGATTGAAGGCGGTCGCGAGTACGTCCTCTCTGCGACAACGATAGTAATGAGGGCATTTCTTTTGGGAGTGAGACGGAGACGAAGGAAAGAGAAAGAAAGGGAAAAAGGAAAAAAGGGGGACGAAGACGACGATGGAGGAGGAAAACATGGAGGAGTGGAAGAGAGCAAAGGGTTTGAGCCAGGTGACCTTCCCCAACAGGAAAAACGTAGGACTAGGGAAGACCTGCCCAGAGATTCTTGTCAAAATAAGGATCAGAATGATGGTGGCGAACACAAGGATAATGGTGAAAGTACTCCTCCAAAACGAACTCGATCGAGTACAAGGTAGTAGCCTTAGTGTTGGTAGACACGTGCAGTTTTCTTCTTTGCTGCTGTTTCTGTCTTTGATCCGAAGGATAGTTTAGCGCCTCTCGAGATCATTGTCACACGGTTCAGCCAAGATGAGGTTATCGTGCG